TATTTATATAAAAAAATTGTAATAAAATCTTTTATATATATATATATATATATATATGTATATATTTATAAATTAGTCTTTGAGATGAGAGATTCGTTTATTAACCGTGAAATTTCACAAAAATATTCTTTATATCCTTATTCAAACAACTATGTTATATCTTAATCAGTATATATTAGGTTTTAATTTCTACTTATTACATTTTTTTATTATTCTAGAATTCTTATGATTAAAGAGATTAATTACAATAATTTTTACGGGTAGATTAAAACTTTGATGATACGTAGAATAATAATTTTATGTAACCATGTATGTAAGATATAAAAAGTATTATATCATATTTCATGATTTGCAAACAAATTTCTAACCCTTTATATAGAGTAAATTATAAAAATATATAAAAAGTTGAAAGACTGAATTACATTTATTTAATTTAGGGACCTAATCATTGAATCCTAAAAAAGTTTAGAGTTCAAATGATCTATACTAAACATTTAATTAATTAAAAATGACACATTTTATTTGATTAAAAAAATTAATGTTAAAAAATCTTAAAAAGTTTTAGTATATTTTTTTATTTAATTTACTTCTATACTATTGTTTATTATATATGGCTATATAAATAATTTTGAAAATGAAAAATGATACATCTCTAAGCTAGAGAGATTGAAATAAGACAACATTTTGAAGGAGACTAAAACCAAACTTTGAAAAATTTTACAAAAACTAAAAATATATTTTACCATTTTATGAATGTAATAGAAAGAAGAAAAAAAAAGCTAATAATAAAAATAACAATATTTTATAATCATATTATATTTTAATACAAAAATAATTATTTCAATTTATTTTTAACATAATATTAAATTATAACACAATCATATAATTTTTTTTAAAAAAAATTGGGTCTCTCTTACACATATAGGTCCTAGACAAACACACTTCCAAACAACTCCAAGATCAACCTTGATATACACCGGTATGAAAATACGCACTCTATATTTTCATTAAAATAAATTAATAAGCACTTATTATGAAAGAATGATCGATTAGTATTTATTATATAACAAATAGATAACTTTTTCTAAATACATTGTTTTCTTAATTTTACCTTTAAAAAATACAGAAAAAGATTGAAGAACTATAATTAAAGAAGTATATATGTGAATAAAAAATGTATATATATAGAAAAAATATTCCTTTTATACATTGTTATTTAAAATCAATTTTACAAACACATCGTTAGTATGCAAATATTGTAAAAAATATGTGGATGCGTGAACCAGGTGACAGTTACGTGCATGATCTATATCCGTACACTATATAATACACTATCAGCATATTTGAACCGGTGTTGGATAGCTAGTAAATCGCGTCCACCAAGTAAAAGACAAGGAAAAGTACGTTGATCATGACATTATAAGACTTATAAAGCGTGTTGAAAACACGTATTCAAGCCAACAAAATCACGTTTAAAACAGAACAATAATGCAAAAAACTACATTCTGTTGCATCTCTTTCGACACGCATGACATGATTTTGATTCAAACACTCACTAATCAGTAATCACTATTAAAAAGAAACAGCTTCTGCTCTCAAACACGTGAGTCAAACAAACTGTTAACATGTTGAACTTCCTAGGTTGAGACTTCAATGCTGCTTTACCCATTTTCCACAGAAAATTGTGGATTATTAGGTGGTTCATTTACTAATTAATCTCTATACAATATATAATAAAATCATATTATTTTTTTAAATATATATATTATATAGTGATTGGTTAAAATCAACTGATATTCTATTTCTATTTATCAGTATTCTGAGTGCGTGATTGGTCAAGTTGCCATTGAATTACGTCCGCAACCACTCTTCTCACTGCTTCCTCGAAGCCAGGCTCCTCCCATTCACTGCCCTGAAAACATGCACACCATTATTCTTCATTCTTCACAACATATATAATGGGTGCTTTTTCCACCATGGACATACCTCAATCCTTGCTTCCTGGAAAAACATAAAAGTTACTTTAGTCAACGTTTCCTTCATAACTACATTAATTATTATTTCTAAAGTGATTACCTGGAAGAATTGTGCCTGTATTTCATTGGATGTGAGTCTTAGAAGATCCGATCGTTGCAGCTCTAAGTACGGAATGTGGTTCGTGAAAGCGACTCCAGGAACACAGCTAAGAAAATAAAAAGTAATTAAATCCAATTATTAGAAAGAAAAAAAAGATGATGAATAATGTTAATGTTAATTAATTAATTTACCTAAAAAAAGTAATTAATGATAACTAGAGAACCGGAAAGTTAGGTTACGTACCCGTCATGAACATGAAATGTTAAAGTCTGGTACTGGTGAAAAAGCGATTCGGCTACATTCCCTAAAGAAGACCTTAGTTGGTTGTTCATTACATCATAGAACCCATCCAAGAAGAACAAACGACTATACCAAGAAAAGAAAGAAGCAGAATCAAGTGTAAGTGCAAGCCTCATCAGAAATCAGAAAATAATAAACTATATATTATATATAGTCTAATTAACATTAGTAGTGATAGATATACTTGGATAAATTGGAATCATATTGCCAGAGAGAAACGTAAGTGCAACCAAAAGAGTGCACGAGGGAGCAGAGAAATTCAGCTCTGACAGCTTCAGTGAGGGAGAAGACACCATCCATGATATGGGGTGCAAGGAAAATCAATATACGCTACGTGTTTTGCATGATGGTGAATGAGATAATTATTAGGGTGTGTGCACTATGATGCATCTAAATCGATTGATATATATGATTGGTTAATAAGGTATTACCTCCTATACTCGTATATATAGATATATGATGGTGGGGTACTGGCTAATTAAGATAAAGGCATGAATCGGTAAGTGATGTATGAAGGGGAAGAATAGATGAAAGAGGGGTTTTGAAAAGTATGGTGTGATCATGTATGAGAAAAGTATGCCACTAATATACTATATGTAGAAGAAATATCTAAGTGTGAATAGAATAGACGATGAAGGAAAGGGCGTCATAATGCAATGAAATGAACTTTATATGAATGTCATCTTGCTTGAGACAGCTGCGAGAATTGTCGTCTTCACAGCCGCGGAAGCATTGAAATATTATATTTAATCTGCACATAATATAAGAAAAATCATCCACATATATTTCGTTATTTATTTATTTATTTTTATACAGGAGATACAAGAGAGAGACAGAAAATAAATGAAAATTATAATAATAAAGGACGTCTCGTAATATAAAGTTCAAAATAGAAAAACAAATATAGATGGAAATTATATATGAACATCATTTGTTAGAATAATGAAAAAGAAATGGTACAAATATATACAATATATCTTTATATATATATATATACACACAAAGAAAAAGATAATGAAAAAAATATGAGATAAAATAGTTAATTGTAAAAAATAATAGTATATTTCAACAACCCAATATTTACTTTTATTTTTCGTTTTAATTGTTTATCTGTCACATTACTTATTTTATTAGAATATACAATTTGTTTTTCTATCTTTAATCTCTCTATGTAATTTATTGTAGAAAAAATGATATATAAATAACATTAATCAAAAAAGAGAATATTATAAAAAAATATAAAACAATCTTGTACTAATAATACAACTCATTATAAAATTCCAGTAAAATTAAAAGAAGAAAGATAGTATATGTACATTAATTATTTCTAAAATTTATAATTCATGACTTTTAAGAATGATGATTTTATGATAATTTTGTTTTCTTCTATTAAAAGCAGCTTTAATATAGTGAAAATGTTTTTTTTATTATCAATTTATAAGTGACCAGTTACACGAGAACAACTTAGGTGTGTTTAGTTTAAGAAAACATTTTTTTATTTTCAAATTTCAAAATTTAGCAAACATGTTTGATTTAACTGCTTTTGATAAAAATTTATAAAATATTTTTTATATTTAATTTACTATCTACACTACACCAAAATTAGATTTTTGTGACAATTAATTTATTCTTTAGCGACCATATAAATGGTCATTATTTTTTTTACCAGCATTTAAATAATGGCTGGTGTATCTAGTGTCGCTAATACTATTACCGACATTTATATAAAATGCTGGTAAAGACCTACTAAATTGTCGGGAAAACTTATTTTTTTTAGTGACAATTTTAGTAGTCATTTTAAAGGCTATTAAACGTTATTTTTTCAATTGTCTCCTTTCTATCCATTTAGTGACTTTTATTCCTATAATTTTCTTTTCTAAATTCATAACTTATATACTCTTTTTTTTATCTCTAGTCGATGTGAGATTTGTAAGATGAAGGTTGTCTTCTATTTATATATTTTTTAATTTATTTTTTTAATTGTCTTATCTCTAAGAGATGTGAGATTTATAAGGTGAAAGTTGCTCTCTAATTGTTTTATAGCACTATTGAACTTGGTAATAGTGGGTGATTTTATACTAATTTATTATAGTGAATTAAGAGTATAACTCAACCCTATAAATTAACTTATAAGGTGATAGTTATTACTCACTTATATACTATTTAATTATCTTATATCTAATCGATGTAGGACTAGTTTTTTTCAATAAATAATTATCCCTAATAGTAAACTTTAGTGTAGTATAAATACACTTTTAGTGGCTATTATATATTAACCATTAATATTTTTATTATATAATTAAATAGCGACAATTAAATTATTGTCATTAAACAATTATCGTTAAAAACAATTTTTGTTGTAGTGCTATTTGATTAATAAATTTGTAATATATATCATTAATAACATCAAAATCATTGAGGTATTTATTACAATAAAACCCTCCCTTCTCTCTCTCTATATATATATATAATATTCAAATTCAAATTCAAATATTAACTCTATGTATTAATTTTATATTTACTTCAACATAATTTTTAACCTCTCATTTTTTAAATATTTTTTTATATTTTTAATTTTTTTAATCTTTTTGAATATATCATTTTTATATTTATTTTTCAAAAATATCAATAATTAAAATATTTTTTATTATAAAATAAATTATTTATTTTAATATAAAATATACTTTATATGTTTAAAAAAAATTATTTATTACTAATTTTACTTGATGTAACACAAATATATAAAATTAAAATATTTATTTATTATAAATTTAGTTATACAAAATAAATAACTATCTTGTATATACTGCACAAACTAAAATACTATTAAAGAAATAAATATAAGTATAGTGCTGGTCTCACAAAAAAAAATTATATAAATATAATTAATATTTATGACAAACTTAGAAATTAATAATTAATCACAATAAATATTGAGCATGTTTAATAATACTAAAATAATATAGAACATATATGTAATTAATTAAAAATTTATAAAATAATTAAACTAAATAATTTTGTTTTTTTTCTTCTGTCATATGTTAAATAAATTATATAATATAAAAGACATGTGATCAATTAAATTATGTGTATCAAACAAAAACAAACTTCTGCACCAATTTATGTTTCATACAGGGGATGGAAGGGAATTGGCCGACAAATTTTATTTTATTTTTTGTCAACGCCAATTCAAAATTACGTTTTCAGAAATTCTGAAAATGTGTTTTTTTTATGTTTTCAAATTTGATCTTTTAAAAAAAAAAA